TATTGTTTTTTTTTGTTTTAAAAACAATAGCGCCACGTATATAAAAAGTGGGAGGGCTATTTTAGCGTTGCAACGTATTTTGGTATATTTGACCTGTAGATTATAACCTGAATAGCTCACCTATTCTAAAACATTTGGTCCAAATTTAATTATTAGAATGTGTCGTCGGTATAAAAGATGCCTATTGTTTGACCTGGAATATGGCCCTTCTAATATAAACGGGACACTGAAATGGCAGTGTACGTCTGATTTTAATGTTTAACGGATCGTTTATTTGCGTTGCAACTTTTATTTAAACGACATGTCGCAGCCTGCCAGACTCAGACTGCAGTAGTTTAGAAAAAAAAAAAGAGTGGAATGGTGTAGCTGTAACGGGCTGTAAGCCTGTAACCCAAATGAAATATCTTGCGACTCTTGCATGTTTTGGTTGGTGTTGGAACTTGGAAGTAGATAAAAACAAAAAAAATAGTTATTATAGAGCTGATATTAGCGCATAATCCTCTTAACTTTTTTAGTTTGTTTGTGTGCTCCAAGCTCCACCGCTCCCATCGGCAGGCGGTTCGGATCACGGATGTGCTATGCCTATTTGACGTTTGTGCTTCTGCGTGTTAGCCCAAAATCGAGCGGGCGGGGGCCAAGGGGTGGGGCGCTGGCGGCTTGGAGGGACTTATGACTTCAATCTTGACCTGACCCTGGTCAAGATCACCTCAGAAATACGGTTTCAAGTGCTCAAGCTATTTACTTTATTATGAAGTACATCTACAACTAAATACGGGTTTTTTTTGAAAGTGTTACTCTACAGCGATTGGTAAGCAAGTTGCGCAAAAAAGATAGTGTCCAATAAACACCGGGCCCAGTATTGTATCACTCTGAATATGAGGCATATCAAGTCTATCTTTGTGATATTGCCGGTTGTGTGTATGATGATTGATAAGACCCTATTTAGAGACTCTAGATTGATTTGGGATGGCGCAGGGCCCAAAAACGTATATATGTACAACAGATTTATAAGTCCAAAAGCGCCTAAAACACGGAACCACATCCGAACCGCCTAATAACCCAAAGGGCCAGGACAGATTCAACAAAGGACACGTTAAGAAGTGTCAACACTGTCAGGAGTCAATACACGCCACACTGTCACACACACGTTTACAGTTTACACAGACACACAAAGAAGAAGATCGATTGGTGAGACTCATGAGACTCGAGAGTCGAGACTGTCGAAAAATTGTGTGTGAAAATAAAGGGTTGCTCATTAGGAGCCTGTGTATATTGTGCACATATTTGATTTTTGGCCTCGCTTCGATGTGTGTCGTGTTGAGTGTGGGAGACTAAGAGAATATCTGGTAAATACTCCTACCGTGACTGGGCTACGGGCCCTACCCCAGTCAGTGCGTGTACAGTGTTCTGTTAGACCTTGTTATTCCTGACGTTAGTCCGTTCAGCCATAGTTTCTTATTTCTTCTCTAGAGTAGAGGGTCATACTGCGTATTAGACCAAGTCCGTCACTTTGAAAATTTTGGACTATCAACCAGAAGACAAATCTAGAGAGTAGAGGGTCGAGCTGCTTATTAGACCAAGTCCGTCACTTTGAAAATTCTGGACTATCAACCGGAAGACTACTCTTGTTGCTTTTCATTGGTCAAGAGGTCAAAGCTGTGTTTGACTGTAAGTGATACTATTGTCGCATATGTATTACTGTTATATGACTTATCATCATACCTTTCGATAACGCTACCTTGCCCTTTCTAAATGCGTGTATCCATTCCATTATCTTAGATGCTACACAGCCGCGCTTACGTTTATTATCCTCAGTCACTTTAGTACTTTCTGCTATGTTTGGGGTCACTGAGGTGGCCAGCGTCATACTTCTCTTTATGGTTCCCTCATGTACTTTAAACGACCAGGCAGTCTCTGTCAAGATTCACTTATTATAACTATCGCCATGCTTTCATCTGTGCTTGTGTCTAGATTCCACCCATAAAATCGCTGTCTAAAGGATTGAATATAAGAGTATTGGTGATATTCAAATCACGAATATTTACATGACAACTTTTCCGAATATTGCAAAAGAAAGGATTTGCACTACATACATCCATATCACTATTCAGAGCCAATTATTCTTTGCATACTTCACCAGAAATCCGTACTACATTCATGAAAAATATCACGCAAGGCCAATCTCAATTTTTTTTGACTATCCAGGAATATTTGTAAAAAAATATTTACTGAAGGTACTTATTTCATATTTATTTCATTCTATTTTTACTGTTCTTCTTAAAAACAAATTGCAGGTCTAATAAGAAACTGGAAGTATAAAAAAAATTTAGATTGTAGTATGTACTGTACATATTTATGTATTTATGTATTTAATTTAAAAAAAAAATAGCACTGCCCCTATGTACATATTTTGTTTTTAAACCCAAAAAAAACATATACTGGCTGTCCTAGGTCTCTTGTACTGGCATCTTAAACTTTTACAGTAAATATATAAATACACAATGACATATGTAAATATGACAGTTATTTTTTTGGTTTTTAAAAAATAAATAAGTAGTGATAGTAGTACATACATACTGTATATCACAACGGTTTTTCCGAAAAAGATCCATCATCCACCATTCGTGATTTCATAGACAGTTCAGACTTCAGAGTACAGAGTTCGGAGTACATACAAAGCTATTTTGTACCACAATGCCTTCAGAAGGCTATGTATGTACGACATAGCCTGCCATTTAAAAAAAAAATAGACACACAAGGCTATGGCTACGACCTGACGGCTGACGCCGAACGGCAGGCCTGAAACCGGTTTACGTTAAAACTTTATTTATCGAATAGATATACGTTTACGTTCAACTTTCATTCCATATGCGGTCCTTTGTATGCTCATAGGCATACGGGTCTAACCACTATGGCGTGTACTTTTTTTTCAACATACAAACTAGTCCTATACAAGAGTTTAGGTAGTCCCTTCTGATCACACATTACCCATAATAACGTTTTAAAATTGAATAAATAACTTCTATTCCATACCCCCATAACATAATGATAGCCTGACGGACATAGTAAACATAGCATTCAATATTGACACTAGTCGGCGTATCGGCGACTAATAAGTTTTCTTTTAATACGTAAAACAACAACAAAAACAAATAAAACAAACAAAAGCTTGCTTTCAGTTTCAGACTCACTGACAGTCTCTCACACACAGTCTTCTAAGGCTTTTAAAAAAGTCCTAACTCTCCACCAGACCACCACAACAATAAACAAGTTCACAGTCACTGGCCTCTCTGCGAGTCTGCGTCACTCTGCGAGTCTGTGAGACTGTGACTATTTATGCAAATTTTGTTCACAGCAACTTTTCAACTCCACCTTGATTTTTGTTGTTGTTTTGTTTTTTTAATTATTGTTTTAACAAAAAACAACCAAAACCAAGCACCCCAATAAGGTATGACCAGTTGTCAGTTGAGTACAGTAGTTGACCACCAGTGCGGCAGCGCCACACTGCCAGTCTACCATTGAGTTGGCCAGACCGCCAGACAGGCCTCATAACGTAGCTGAAAACGTACTACGTTAACGCCAACAATTATATTTTTTTTTTACGCATACCGTATTCGTTTTGGTGTTTCCAAAATGATAACTGCAAAAAACAGAAATTCAGGAACTGTTCTATATAGATCAACAAATGACAAATATACATTAGTCCGGATTTAAAACTGCCAAAGTTCAATTTATATATTAGGGGTAATCACCCAAATTTTAATAAATATAGTTGGGTGGCATATTCCAACATATTGGCAGTCTTCATCGCCAAGGTCATACCGCTAACGCAATATTTTGAAAACGTGCTTACGCTTAACGTAATGAGCCCTGCCGCCAGACCGCCCTACGAGAGTGAGAGAGAGAGAGCAGACTGCTGGTCCAGACTCCAGAGTCCAGAGTCCAGACTGCCATACATCATGGCTCCACATGAGTCCACATCTCTCTCTACTAGTAGAGTCCAGACTCCAGAGCGCCCATTTATTAATGTTTTTTTAATTGTTTTTTAATAAAAATAAATAAAACAATAAATAAAAGCGAACAAACGAACATTGTTTATTCTATAGAAAATAAAAAAATATTTGGGACAAAACGCCGCTATATTTAAAAAAAATTTCCTCCCTATTAGCAGTAAACATAAATACCTATTTTTAGATTACAGTTGTCATAATTTTGAATTTTCGAATGAGAATGTTGTTGGAATGCAGTTTATCAATCTCGAAAAGCACATGGAAGGAAAAGAAGCTTCCAATTTTCATTTGAAGCTGTACAGGGGGCTACAGGAGATACTTCGCTCCGTTGGTCGTTGCAAAATAATGAAATACATTCCAATTTCATTTACCTCTCAAAAAATAGTAAATAGTAATTTTTTGGTTTTTGTAAATAAAAGTAATTGTTTTTAAAAACAAATGCTGAGAGAACCAATGTCTGATAGTGACATACTGTACTGCAACTATAAAGTATAAACACAGCTGTACAACAACACACAGAGAGAAGCGAGAAAGAGAGAGATCAGAGAGCATGAGGCCGCCTCCAGCCCAGCCAGTTTTAGCCACACAGTGTCAGCCAACACGCACGATCACCTAATCACTTTAGCAGTTGTACCTCTCTATTTTATCATAGGAGTACGGGAGCAGGTAGGCATATATAAAAATGTACAGTAGAGAATTCGATATTACGGATGCTTGAAATCTTGAATCATTCTTGATACTCCTAAAAAACACTCATACCCTTCGCCATTCACGTCCGTTATCTTGGAAGATCACAGAAGAATCGATATGGTTATATATAATATAATGGAACTAAAGCCTGACGAACTCATAATTGACCACAGTTGTAATATTAGAGAGCAAGTGTAATAGCATTTTTTTGTGTGTACAGAAAACTAATAGATTGACATGACAACATAACCTGGGAGTTTTATCTTCGGGATTGAAGCACCTCACAGGACACGAGATCACATATATTGAATCAACCAGTAGACATTTGCAGACTATACAAATTAAAAAGTTATCATGCCGCAAAAGATCAAAAATTCAACGGCAGAAGTCGCTCACGATATACTTGTCAGCGCAGACGATAATGGCCACTTCGAACGGATCGAAAGCTTCAAAAGACGTGCACGTAAGACGTATTCGGAAGCTGAACGTCCGTATAAGTGTGAGTTCTGTACTCGAAGTTACGCCTTCGAACACTCAAGAAATCAGGTAATTTTCTACTTTTGTTCACTTCGCATATGTGCGATTTTGTGTCGTGTGCATGCTGGAGTTCAACGTCGATGATTTCGTCGGCGATTCTTATTGCGCCCTTCCAATTTATCCACGTTGCAGCATATACGCCTAAAACACATCCCCTCATCGTTGAAATCCCGTACGAACGGCGCGCAGAAAGAGGCCACCCCAAAGGGTAAGTTGAACGAGTTGACTTTGAATAATCAACGATTACAAATGTACATGTTCTCCAGTGTGTCCTTCTGTATGTTTTTTTTCATGTGCGCACCTATAGAAGGCTGATTGCCTTTACTCGATCTGGACTTTGAATAGTCAACTATTTCCAATATTCATGTTCGGCAGTATGCTTTCCGTACAAATTTCCCCGTTGCGCTCGTATAGAAGACTGATTGTCTTTCCTCGATCTATATATCATACAGCTTCAAAATCGGAAACGGCAGATGCGACTCGAAGCTCCATTAGAGTGAGGAGTTTGACCGATGTATTGAATACCAGCACAAATTCAGCATTGTCGAAAAACCATACGACCACTTTCGCACAGGCCGGAATCAGAAAACAGATGCGGCCACAGGAAAGCAATACAAACAACCAATTGCATAGGGTTGATGTTGAGAACGATGTGACCACTGACCAGTTTGTTGGTGTCAGTGGTGTTCCCTTTCGACCGGTCTCGTACCATAGTTTGTCACCTTCCGCTACTGTTTCTATGTCAACCGGAGAAAATCGCTTGCCGTGGCGTGGCGCTGATAGTTCGAAGCAATTCGGGCCGACTGGGGCATCCAATAGAAATAGCAATCCGAGGCCCGTTTGTAACCGACGAGCTTCGGACATCACGGGCATTAAGACACCGATGGCACACCCGTATAGGTGCTCATTTGATGGTTCAAACAACAATCGTCTGGATGATTTGCTCGACTTGCATGGGCACCAGCAACGAGTGAGACAGAGGAGCGTATACTCTCATGTTCATTCTAGTAACAATATCAGACCCGCCTTGAGAGCATCGCAATCATGTGAGGTTCTGAGAAGCAAAGTAGTTCCTGCTTGTAATAATCAAGTCTTCTCATTCTCATCGTTCGACATTCCACAATCGTACTATAACATGAAAACGCTATATAGAAACGCCAGTACCAACTTACCGACACATTCGGAGCCCATGCAAAGTCAAGCTCTTGCACAGCTCAGCAATAGTCAAAGATCTCAAGAACAGGCTGGGTGTATGGCAAGGTCGCGTGAGAATCGAAATACAGCTGATAGTCCGGCAGCAGTTCAGGATCCGTCATCTAAGCCTTGGATGTCAATCTACAACACATTTTTGGTGGACAAAGACGAGGCACATGCCAATGCTTCTATGGTTCAGACACAGGCTGACTCTCACATGGTGACCCTGAAATCTGATCGATACATACCACATTCAAGGACTACTCGCGAAGCGCAATCGGCTGAGCTGTCAGTGCGCGAACGAAGTATGGGCGACACTTCAGCCGAAGATGATATAAATACAGAGGAAGACGGAAATGGATCCAGCGGTTGTGAGGGGCGATCAAGTGAAAGCCGATCGACATTAGGCAATGACAGCGCATCATCTGCATGTCCACCACGTTCTCCAAACTATAATCAGTTTACCTCTCCATCTCACTATGACAGTCGTAATCTGCGAGCAGCGGCCAACAGGCCAGCGCATGATATGACTGACATCGAAAGTATTATTGAGTTGAGTACGGACAACGTACGGAATAACAGACTGTTGGATGCTAAAGTGAAAACTACATGGTCCAGTGTGTCCAGTATACAAGAAGACAATGCAGCTGCTGTCGGACGAAGACTACCGTCGGATATGAATGTTGATTTCGTCTGCAGTATTCTCAAAAGCCTGGAATCTGCATAGATCCCTTTGATTTTCAGCGATGCCAAGAAAGTCGTGTATTCGCGCAAGAGTAAGCGTATCAGACAGGAACGAGAACTGAATGACTCAACCATCATAAGCTTTCTATTTTTACGTTTAAATTTTCCCTCTCTATCTATAGTATAATAGTATACTATACGCATCTGGGATATACACATTGATATTTACGACATTTAGATAAATCGAAACACAAAAATTCATTATGAAAGCTGAAGCAGACAAAATAATGAAAGCATGCTTCTTGCGGGTACACAACGATGTCGAAGATGGAACCGAATGAGATAGAACCAAATACTGGATCCCACCAACTTCTGTGGTTCAGATAATGAGTGGATATTGCAAACTACGACCGATACTCGGAAATTTTCGAGCTTAGAGTTACTGCACGTTATGACTATATCGTAGTAGACTCGTAACCTTCGACAAAAACTTTGAAAGAACGATTCTCTTCTCAATAATTACACTCTCCGTCTGAAAACGAAAAAACATACTGCCGTGCCACAACCCTTTCGCTGCTGTACTCAGTTTTAACTACTTCTTTATATACTTTCGTTCGCGTATCCAAACATTCATGCCCCACTTTTCTCCACCTGTTACCCGGGTACCGGCATGCAGCACTCTGTCATCCATTCCAGCGCCACCCTCCTCATCCTGTGCCAAAAGAACGCCCACAAAATCAAATGCTACTACCACGTGATTTCAATATTGAAGTTGGTGGAATGTAATTCTATGGAAGCAAATTCTAGTCCGATGGAAGTCAATTATGCCATGCTAGACGGTAGACGTACAAGACGTTCAGCAATCAATCCATACAAAGTTGAGGATGGGGCGGATTTGGATAGCAATAACTAAAGCTGATTAGGAATATGTCCACAAATCAATGACCTGAACAAGTAAAAAAATGACAGGTCTGATGCAGATGTTAGAATACATATGGGTGTTAAGATCAGATATTAACCTGCTTGAATACGTATAGTACTACCTGAATACCTGAATTGCGAATAACCCATCTGGCTTAAATGATCGAGCATACTATTATCTATACACTATAGCTTCTGGAACTATTTGCTGACCAAGGTTGCTGTTTAACTCCAACACTGCGAGAGGCGCCTCTGGTGGAGACTGCTAGTCGAGCTGAAAAGAAAAAGGCTATCTCCGTCCTACTTGCATACGAAGTTAAGCATTTCGACACTTATGGACACTTAAGTATCTACTATCCGGTCTTGGTGTCTAAAGTAAACAAACAGTGAAATGCGACACTGTACTCAAGAGTTAGGTCAGAGGTAGGCCATACCTTCCTCCTCCTGTTATACCACAGCACTGCATGACCTGCATGTGGAGCGAACTTCAAGTCCAGCTTGGGAAAACACGTCTCGCCACCTCCTGTAACATCGTTGAGGTAACAGAATATTGTGATCAAGCGCTGTCCACCGTTCTTCATATGGCTGGCGTAGGTTTCCCCATTCGGATTGAACCAGTCATTGTGAGCTTTGTACTCTTGTGTCTCATCGTAGTGCACCACCTGTGATAAACAACAAAAGTATATATATATATATATATTTATACACACACACACACACACACAACTGAACTGTCCGGGCTGCTTGAAATTCTCCTAGAACACAGTAAACTGCGTCGCATAACCCAATTCTGATTAGAACACACACCTGGATGGTCTCGAAATTATCAATACTGTATCCGGTTATCTCGGACAATCGTCTAAGCACACTCATCACATCTTTATGTGCCCGGGGTATCCTACAACTTGTGCTGGAGCGAGCACTGGAGTTGACACCATCACCCACAACACGACTGGCTTTTAACCTGCAGTGCACAGTATTATTGTACATCAAACGAATCCGATTAAACACAGGTTTATGATGTATGTTTGGTGTATGTGGATATATAAGAGAGAGTGTGGCTCTGCGATCGGCATGCTTCTATATATGCCCATATTCCAAACAGCACATTCTACGAGTGGAGTATGTACATATTAATGTAGGTAGCGGTTTCAGCATAATCGACATCAGAATACTCTTTCGCGTGTTGAGAATGAATACTCATTTGTTGCAAAGTTGGAGTATTAAGTGTTCGATATATTTCTCCCCGCGAAACCCACTTAGACTTTTACAGTCTCGTGCTCCCGTTGCGATCGAAATGTTTTTACCGAAAGTGAACCCTCAATACAGCGAAACCTATGTTATTTTCAGTAGAAAACTCCGGAGAAGTACATTCTAGTTGTGCAGTATATTGGTTCTTGGAGTTCGATGATAATTGGTTGAATCACACACTTTTGGCTGCTTAACACAAACCTTGGCTTCGCAATGGCTATAATCGATTGCATTTCTTCAGTGGTTAATAAATTGCTTATGGTGGCTATCCGGGGCGATTTGGAGACCACTTTGTACTCGAACTTGGGTGGGAATGTGACCGAAGCAATTGGCACCACTGATACTGCATACAAAAGGTATTCAAGGAGCCACGATTACAATTCAACACGCTCGAATATTGTATAGTTTCAGAGATAGCTGAACTGAATCGGTACTGTGTACAACCCTTTTCCAGGTGCTACAGCCACGATTAAGTACACCTGATCGAGCAGGTTAATTGATCTTCCAACCAGAGCAAGCTACTTAGGATACAATAAGACACTCTAGTGATAGTTAACATAAAGACGGGGTAATGGTCAGGCTATGTGGTATTACTTTTACTCCAAGTAAAACCTATGTATCCAGATGCAGCGGATGAGTCTGCATCTAACGTTTGCCTGAGTACGTCGACGAGTAAGCATAAAAAAAATCGGTATCAATGTTACCTTTAATCAATTCTTGCAACTCCATATGATTGAGTAAACAAGTGTGAGTACTACTATACAATTAAAGCATCACTCAACAAGTTTGTGATATTGGAATCTAAATGTAGCTATATATATATATTTATATATACATATACATATATATAGATATATATATATATATATATATACATATACATATATATATATATACATATATGTATACATATATATATAAATATATATATGTGTGTGTGCGCGTATATATACATATACATATACATATACATACATAT